TGAACAACAAGACAAGAGGTAAATGAAAGTTTGAGACCATATGATATCAAGTGATTTGAAAATTCTTGGACGAAGAGTATGTCTCAATTAGAGTTTTCAAAAAGGCTTTGATGAAAAATATTTCAACTGGACCTTTCTGAATAGATGAAAATTGTATTTCAGAAAGTTGTTTCTTTCCAGGTCTATAATATTTTAAAAATTTTAATTCATCATAGTATTTTTTATGCCATATTTTTTCCTCATTTCTTGAGAGACTTAAGTACATCCAACTTTTAAATTAGACCTGTGTCTCTAATTATAATGTTATTTATTTATTTATTTATTTAGTTAGACAGAGTCTTGCTCTGTCACCCAGGCTGGAGTACAGTGGTGTGATCTCCGCCTCCTGAGTTCACGCCATTCTCCTGCCTCAGCTTCCTGGGTACCTGGGACTACAGGCGCCCGCCACCATGCCCGGCTAATTTTTTTGTATTTGCAGTAGAGACAGGGTTTCACTTGCAACTGTTAGCCTTACAATTTCTGTTGCCGTTCATTTTGGAAAACTTTTCTGTTAAATCATGCACTTCATATCGTTTAATATCAACTCAGATGAATTTATCGAGCACCTGAGTTTGCAATGCAGCAAGTGTTTAGAAGAAGGCGTGGTTCTTTCTGTCTTCTGTAAACAGATTATATGCACACGAAACAACTAGAAAGCTCTTCTGAGGTACCATTATGCAGGTGCTGGATAGTATGATACTTAAGGAACACCAGAAAGGTGAAGGGTAATCATGGAGTAGAGAGCATTTACAGTACTTCTTAGCTACTAGATGTTAATGTTCGTTATGCTGCAAACTAAACAAATGCTCTGTAGGTTATATATATGTAACTGATAGAGGTTATGTTGTAAATGTGTAGAAAAAGGTCTGGAAGGATACATATCAAATATAACTGATTCTATCTTACCTCTGAGGGAGAACTGGTTGGGGTGGTCTCATTTTTGTTAGAACTAATAAATATGGTCCATATTCAGTTTATAAAATAGTTGATGGTATCTCACACCTCATTGCACAGCCAACTGAATATTAAGGATTTTTAAAATAATTGAATGTTTATTGAATATTTTTAAAATAATATAAATACATATCTATGTATACATATATACACATAATGTGAATTAATAATGACTGTCACTTTTAATGTACAGGTGTGTATTAGTCCATTTTCACGCTGCTGATAAAAACATATCCAAGACCAGGCAATTTACAAAAAAAGAAGTTTAATTGTGGTTAGGGCAGCCTCACAATCACAGTGGAAGGTGAAAGGTCTCACATGTCAGCAGACAAGAGAAGACAGCTTGTGCAGGGAAACTCCCCTTTTTAAAACCATCGGATCTCATGAGACTTATTCACTGTCACGAGAACAGCACAGGAAAGACTCGCCCCCATGATTCAATTACCTCCCACTAGGTCCCTCCCACAACATATGGGAAGTCAAGAAGAGATTTGGGTGGGGACACAGCTGAACCATATCTTTCCGCCCCAGCGCCTCCTGAATCTCATGTCCTCACATTTCAAAACCACTCATGCCTTCCTAACAGTCCCCCAAAGTCTTAACTCATTTCAGCATTAACTCAAAAGTCCATCCAAAGTGTCATCCAAGACAAGGCAAGTCCCTTCTGCCTATGAACCTGTAAAATCAAAAGCAGGTTAGTTACTTCCTGGATACAATGAGGGTACAGGCATTGGGTAAATAATAGCCATTCAAAAAGGGAGACATTGGCCAAAACAAAGGGGCTACAGGCCCCATGCAAGTCCAAAATCCAGAGGGGCAGTCAATTCTTAAAGCTCCAAAATGATCTCCTTTGACTCCATGTCTCACCTCCAAGTCATGCTGATGCAAAAGATGGGCTCCTACAGCCTTGGGCAGCTCCGCCTCTGTAGCTTTGCAGGATGTAGCCGCCTCATGGCTGCTTTCAGGGGCTGGCATTGAGTGTCTGTGGCTTTTCCAGGTGGACTGTGCAAGCTGTCAGTGGATCTATCATTCTGGGGTATGGAGGGCAGTGGCCCTCTGCTCACAGCTCCACTAGGTGGTGCCCCAATAGGGATTCTGTGTGGGGGCTCTGACCCCACATTTCTCTTAAGCACTGCCCTAGCAGAGGTTGTCCATGAGAGTCCCGCCCTTGCAGCAAACTTCTGCCTGGGCATCTAGGTGTTTCCCATGAATCCTCTGAGATTTCCAAACCTCAGTTCTTGACTTCTGTGCACCCACAGGCCCAACACCACGTCGAAGCTGCCATGGCTTGGGGCTTCCACCTTCTGAAGCAATAGCTGGAGCTATACCTTGACCCCTTTTAGTCACAGCTGGAGCAGCTGGGATGCAAGGCACTAAGTTCCCAGACTGCACACAGCAGAGGGACCCTAGGCCCAGCCCACAAAACCACTTTTTCTTCCTAAACCTCTAGGCCTGTGATTCAAAGGGCTGCCACAAAGGTCTCTGACATGTCCAAGAGACATTTTCCCCCTTTTCTTGGTGATTAATATTCGGCTCCTCATTACTTATGCAAATTTCTGCAGCTGGCTTGAATTTCTCCTTAGAAAATGGGATTTTCTTTTCTATCGAATTGTAAGGCTGCAAATTTTTGAAACTTTTATGCTGTTTCCATTTTAAAAGTAAATGCCTGGGCTGGGCACAGTGGCTCATGCCTGTAATCCCAGCACTTTGGGAGGCTGAGGTGGGTGGATCATGAGGTGAAGAAATCGAGACCATCCTGGCCAACATGGTGAAACCCCATCTCTACTAAAAATACAAAAATTAGCTGGGCATGGTGGCGCTTGCCTATATTCCCAGCTACTTGGGAGTCTGAGGCAGGGTAATCGCTTGAACCTGGGAGGCAGAGGTTGTAGTAAGCCAAGATCGTGCCACTGCACTCCAGCCTGGCAACAGTAAGACTTTGCCTCAAACAAAACAAAACAAAACAAAACAAAAAACAAAAAAAAACGGAATTCCTTTAATAGCACACAAATCACCTCTTGAATGCTTTGCTACTTAGAAATTTCTCCCGCTAGACACTCTAAAGCATCTCTCTCAAGTTCAAAGTTCCACAAATCTCTAGGGCAGGGGCAAAATGCTACCAGTCTCTTTGCTTAAAACATAACAAGAGTCACCTTTGCTGCAGTTTCCAACAAGTTCCTCATTTCCATCTGAGACCACCTCAGCCTAGACTTTATTGTCCATATCGCTGTCAGCATTTTGGGCAAAGCCATTCAACAAGTCTCTAGGAAATTCCAAACTTTCTCACGTTTTCCTATCTTTTTCTGAACCCTCCAAACTGTTCCAACCCCTGCCTGTTACCCAGTTCCAAAGTTGCTTCCACATTTTCGGGTATATAGAGCAGCACCCCACTCTGCTGGTACCAATTTACTGTATTATTCTGTTTTCATGTTGCTGATAAAGACATACCCAAGACTGGGCAATTTACAAAAAAAAAAAAAGAGGTTTAATGGACTTACAATTTCACATGGCTAGGGAAGCCTCACAATCATGGCAGAAGGTGAAATGCACGTACATGTGGTGGCAAAACAAGAGAAGAGAGCTTGTGCAAGGAAACTCCTCTTTTTAAAACCATCGGATCTCATAAGACGTATTCACTAGCACAAGAACAGCAAGGGAAAGACCTGCCCCCATGATTCAGTTACCTCCCACCAGGTCCCACAACATGTGGGAATTCAAGATGAGATTTGGGTGGGGACACAGCCAAACCATAACAGAGTGTAAGGGAGTTATATCTTCCTTTCAATTTACTCTCATTCTCTTAGTTTAATTCCCTGAAAAATCATGTATATTTTAGGTGGTTTGCTCCCTTTTCCCATGGAATCCAGTGGTAAAAGCTTATAATATTCTGTGTATTTAGGATAGGGTTTCCAATATTAAGACCTAAAAATATATTTGTATTAATATTTTCAAGTTTGTTTAATCTCTATTTTTTTATTAGAAAAAATGTTTCTATTAAATTTCTTGGAGCCTAAGGGAAACGTCATCTATGAAGAAGTCATTATCTAGAAACTTTACTTATCTGATTATTTGATATGATGCTGAAAAAAGGAAAAGCCTCAGATTAATCAACTAAAATTACATAGGGAATTTACTCAGAGGCTTTGTATTTCCATCAAATTTGAATGGAAAGAACTTAATAGGGACAAGCATAATGCTATTGAGAAGTTCCAGTGGATAACTCTTTAACAAAGGACAAAACTTTAAAAATCACCTAAGTGGAAATGAGAAAGAAGGAAGAAATGATGAAGGCAAGTGAGACAGAGGAGAGCAAGTAAGAAAGGAAGGAAATAAAAGAATGTGATATATAATTCCTGTGCATGGTTTTACAGCTTTAATAGAAATGTATGTTCCCATATACAATATGTATAGTTTAAAGTTTTTATCTTTCGCTTGTACAGCTATGCAAGTTATTCTTCCTGTAAAAAGTCAAATATTACAGACTACCTTAATTTTTGCCTCTCTTCAGAGATATAAACATAGTTACATGCTTATTCTTTTTAACCTTTTCTGTGCTTTACATTATATGTAGTTTATAAAAACTACAAAGTATAAATTCTGTACTGTATATACTGTTCCTAACTAGCTTTTTTCTCTTCTTCCACTTAATTGTATGTCTAGGAGCTTTATCCGTGTCAGTATAGAAAGCTCTACTCTAACCCTATTTTTTTAACCTACTGTAGAAGTAATATATGGTTTATCATTTATTTTGTCATTCCCAATTGATGGATTTTTTTTAGGTTGCTTTCATGTTTCTCATCTTTATAAACAATGGTGTTTTGAACCCCTTTGAGTTCATCTTTATTTTTCTAAGGTAAGTACTAGAAACCAGAATTGCTGGGCCATTGGACATGCATATGTTGAGTGTTTCTTTGTCACTGTCAGCCTGCACCCTCCACATTGGCTTTACCATATTATACTCTCCATCTTGCTAATGATTATTCACCTTTTTTTCTTCTTCTTCGTAGGGTTTACTAGCATTGGGCATCCGTAAGTCTGTTCAAACACCAGATCCTTCTCATCCGTAAGGACATTGCCTTATTTTGGTTTTGTTTGTTTTGGCAATAAGTCATTGAAATAACTAAATTTCAGAAATCTCCTGCCATTTATGTACCTGCAGTTTGTTAAAGAGTTGGTCCTTTCTTCCACTGTAGTATCTAAAATGCAGAACTTACCACTGTGTCAAAGTAAATTCAAGGTATAATTTCAAAATGGAGTTTAAGTTATTTTTATGCTTTGTAGCACAGCATGGAGATCTTGTTATCTCCATATTTGATAATAATAAAGCACATATTTTGATCTTAGAGTTCTGTTTTATTTTGGTCCAAGGAAACATATATTCTAGATTTAGACTCATAGGCTGCCCAATCTAAAATTTTGATGGTAACTTCTATTACATACACACTTATTTTAATCTTCCTGTTGTGATTTGGAAATAGTATTTTGTTAATATATCAGAATTATTTATTTGTAAAGTGAGTATACTTTTTAGAATGTATTATTTTGAATCATAGCCATTATTTGATACAGAGATTTTTTTCTATTGCTTCTGTTAACATAACCATCTAAACACTTTTGAATTCCACAAGCATCATTTTAAGACTAGCTTCAGTAATATAATTTGATAAATCTTAAGGCCAAAAATGCACTTTTATTTCTGTAAAGGAGTCTACCTCTGTTCTTTAGAAATGCCTTTCTTTTCTTGAAAGCAATACTACTGTTTTCCTATAAATAATATATTTGAATGTTTTGTAACTGTCAATAAGCTAGTATAGAGAATAGCTCTCTAGTGTGTTAATTACACATCGTTACGGTATTTTACTATCTTAAGAAAAAATTTTTTTTTCTTGGCAAGTTTTATATACAAAAGATTTAAAAACAGAAGGTACAAATTTTACATTTTTGGTTATAAAGATTTCTTCTCTAGGTATTTTTATAGTCTACTTTAGTGCTACCCAACAGAATTTTCTGCAATGATGAAAATATTTTATATCTGTCCAGTATGGTAGTAGCTGACTACATGTAACTATTGAGCATGTGAAATGTGGCCAGTACCACTAAAGAACTAAATTTTAAACTATATTTAGTTTTAATTTATTTAAATTTAAATTGCCACATGTGGCTTGTGACTCATCATATTGGACAGTTTAGATCTACATAATTAAAATTTTCAATAAAAAGTTAATAATTCCTTGAAATCACCTAAAGTGTAAGTAATACCATTTATTTTAGATCTTAATTTACTTTAATATATTCTATATTACTTTGGGAGGAAACTTTAGAAGAAAGTAAATTTTTCTGAGTGAGCTGATTGTCACATTGTCACATCTATAAACTGGGAATTACCCATGGCAGGATTACATCTTTGCGAAAAGGAATTCCAAGAGCAGTTTGATTAAGAATTCTCGTTTAAAGCTGGGTGCAGTGGCTCACGTGTGTAATCCCAGCACTTTGGGAGGCTGAGGCAAGTGGATTACCTAAGGTCGGGAGTTCGAGACCAGCCTGACCAACATAGAGAATACCCCATCTCTATTAAAAATACGAAAAATTAGCTGGGCGTGGTGGCACATGCCTGTAATTCCAGCTACTCAGAAGGCTGAGGCAGGAGAGTTGCTTGAACCCAGGAGACGGAGGTTGCAGTGAGCCAAGATCGCGCCATTGCACTCCAGCCTGTGCAACAAGAGTAAAACTCTGTTTCCAAAAAAAAAAAAAAAAAAAGGCGGGCGCAGTGGCCCACGCTTGTAATCCCAGCACTTTGGGAGGCCGAGGCGGGCAGATCACTTGAGGTTGGGAGTTCGAGACCAGCCTGACCAACATGGAGAAGCCCCGTCTCTACTAAAAATACAAAATTAGCTGGGCGTGGTGGCGCATACCTATAATCCCAGCTACTTGGGAGACTGAGGTGGGAGAATCGCGGAGGTTGCAGTGAGCCAAGATCACGCCATTGCACTCCCGCCTGGGCAACAAGAGTGAAACTCCATCTCAAAAAAAAAAAAAAAGAATTCTTGTTTAAATTTGTATTTCTCAGAAGAGTCCCACTCAGTTTGGGTTTGGGACTAAATTTTCCAGGAAATATTTTTATTAATGAGTGATTCTTTTCCTCCTCTAGTATGTTATTAATATATTTTTGAACACCTTTAATACTAAGTATTGTGTCAGAACTTACAATAATACAAAATAATATACATATTGATAAAGCATGCTTGAAAAATAATTGAGATTTTAACACCATGAAAACACCCAGAAAGCTGAAGATCTTAGTTCTAGTAATAGTTGAAAGTTGCTGTGTGCTAACCTGTTCAGAACCAGCAATAAATTATGTGTTGTAAACTTCTGTATCCAGCATCAAGTTATAGGTAATATAAATCATAGACTGGCTGCACAAAAAGATGGAAATATTCAATTAGAAGCTGCATTACAGGGAAATTTAAATGTTACCCTGTTCATTAAACATCTGAATGCATTTTTTAAAAGATTAATTTTACCAGGATCTGTGGTACACAATAGTAAAGTAGCTCTCTAAATCAAAATAGGCTATTTGGAAAAGAGATCAGAAAAAGGCTGAATTAGATGGTATTCACTTTGTTTTTATGTATTTTCAAAGATCTTACAGGTTTTTTCCACTTTCCATATTGCTTTTCAAGTTTGGCCCTTAACATCTCACTTAAATATAAAATGATAACATCTTGATATTCTTAGTCTGTTTCATTGACCTATTAAGGTCAATATTTTAAAAGAAACCATTTGTATTTCTTGTGAACTATTTTCTTTTCTATTTTTCAGGTATGGATTTTCAAATATGCGCTATATTTCTTCGCTAATTAGTGGTGTTGGTATTTTCATGATGGGTGCGGGACTATCTTGGTACCATGGAGTCATGGGATTGCTTCATCCTCAACCAATAGAATCCCTTCTATGGGTAATCCTCTTTTTTTCTCCTCAGTTTGATGTCTTTATGACTTAGTGATTGTGTACAGTAGAAGGCCTTTGTCATATTGGTGTTAAAGAAGGGGAATGACATATACCTTCTTGACTGTGTAATATAGGGTTATGTATCTGTAGTTTATTTTTTAGAACGTGACTGGACATAACCTCTAAATCCATAAGATTCAATGATGTTGAACAAGATCTCTGTAGGTACCGATTATCAAGCCCTGCTCCTTGGTTAAAATTTTGGGCAGTTCCATTAATTTCTGCAGTTACTGTTGAAGAACAAGAAAACCTCTGTTCACTTTTGGTCCCAAGAATAATCTCATTTCAGTAATTAAAATATCCAGACCCATGTTATAGTCATAAGTTGGAACTATATTTAAAGTTAAAGTTTCTGTTTTCCCTCATCCTGGGCTTCCTTCAGGTAGGAAGCCTGCACTGGGGGAATGGGAGGATAGCAGGGTGATCACCCGTGTGATCCCCTCTAGGGCTTCTGCTCCTCTGTCCTATTCCCTAGGCAGTATTGAAGGTTGGGATAGGGGATAAAAACATACTACTTTACTGACTACAATGTTATTTTGCATTGGTTTCCTCTGGCCTTTGTAGATGTTTAAAGCTGTTTTTTTTTTTTTTTTCCTTGGGCACTTCTTGGAGATTACCCTGCTTGGCTGCTCTGGCTATGGCTGCCCAAATTGGTCACATAGCATACCCTCTCAGCTTCTGCATCTCATGGTGTGGTTCCAGACAGTGCTGAAGTGGTCTTGCATTTGGAAAGAATGCCCTTTGAGCAGTAGATCTCCTTATGAAAGACTCCTAGGGACTTGTGTGTTAAAACAGACATATTTAACACACTTTCTGTGGGAGTGCAGGTTTTTTCTCAAGCCCAGTGATCTACTCTGCTGGTACAGCCAGTATCAGTTAGTAGGCTTGCATATGGATGTATCACTCAGGTATGCATCAGACAGTTTGCTGTGATATCCGATATCCAGGTACACACATCAACAGCTTTCACCAAAGAAATCTTCATTTTTGGCCTCCTCAATTTCAGCTTTTCTTATGTGGTCTAGAGGATGCGGACTAGAATGTAGTCTAGTGGGTAGAGGCCCCAGGTTTGGGCTACCTTCTGTTCAAGGCCTGAATAGATGGTGTAACACCTCCTTTTGGATTGCGAGGATACTTGTACCTATTTTCTTCTCTATTTTGGGTTATAGTCAGAACTAGACAGAATCACTCTGTCTAGTTTTTTAATATATTGTTATATCATGCAAATCTACTTAATAACAAGCCCATTAAACTAGACTTATTTGTTATTCTCTAGTTTTCTATAGTTTTAATTGACTAGTTTCTTACCATAATACATTTCATATAATTAAAAGAAACAAATGTATTTCCTCCATCCTGAAAAGATTTGGCCACTTTATGGGTACTTCTTTGTCCTAGCATTCTTCTAATTTGTTCAGCATCACTTTATAGAGGCAAAGCAGTCTCTGGAGTTAGAGATTAGGTAATTAGTTAAATTTTCAGTTGTGTATAAGTTTTCAAACTTTTAAAAGCTCTTGTGCCTTTCAGTAACTAAATGGATTCCCAGTAGACTATGGCCCTTTTTAAAATAGTGTTGGACTAGGTGCAAAGTTTTCAGATCTCTATTTTAGGAAAGCCTAGGGTTCTAAACATTGTTGAAAATTCTGTAGATGTTTGGTTTGAATTTCATTAAAATAAAAAAATATGTGTTGCTAGGTTAACTTTTTTTTTTTTTTTTTAAACACCCCAGACTAAAGCTTTTCTTACCATCTTTAATTGAAGAGTGTCCTGGGATTGCAGGGAATGTGGTGTTACCAAAAAAACAAAAATTGGTTACTGTTTGTAACTATTTACCTTTCTGAATCAGGATTTTCTTGGTGTTAGGCATCCAAGCAAAATCTAGAAGTTACTTGAGTTTGGGTGTGGATCTTACTGTATCTGGTGTCTAGAACCTCTGATATCAAATATTTGAGTTCATATCTCATTGTCCTCCTCATTTGAGTTGTTTCCCATTAGTAACCTTACTGTCTGGCTTAGATTTGAATTCATGTTTTTGTTTATTACGGACTTTATATATGAACAATTGTGATTGGAAGTACTTAATTTATGCTTTGTTTTAATATTTCTTTTCTAGGCATATTGTATTTTAGCAGGATCATTAGTATCTGAAGGAGGTATGTACTGTCACAAAGTATGTCTCTATTCTTAATATAGTAATATGTATTCAGCTGTTCATATTATAGTTTGCTAAGTTCTGTTGATTAAAGAAAAGTAAGTGTGGGAATAGTCATCTAAGCTTTCTCTACTTTTAGGGATTAAAGTCTTTGTATGATGTACTGTGGTTGTTTCTGTAATGGATAGCTGTGGGGGTGTGTGTAAGTGCGCCCTGCCATGGGATGGCATCCTGGCCAGGGCTCGTTTCTTCTTGTGTCCTGAGCTGCTAGGATAGGCTCAAGTAGGTGACAGTCAGATAGATGCAGGACAATAACTGATGTGGCATGAAAGTGCTCAGCAAGCCCACCATATTTGTGGTTATTTTTAAACTATGTGGTGGTAAGAGGTGTTCCTTACAATTTTCACTTTGTAAACGTTATTCCTTGATTGAACCCAATACCACTGCTATTGCCGTTACTTGCTGATTCACTAAAAATTGGATAAATAATTATTTCATTTATTTTAAAGGGAAAGTATGTTTCGTTTTTGAGTATCATAATACTCAAAACATTTGAAAGCGAGTATAAAAAGCATAACTAAGCTGAACTTTAAAAATTAGCACTTAATAGTGTTCATCAGAAGAAGCCAGGCTCTTGTGATACAAATATTTCAACGTTTTTGAAATATACCTCTATAGCAGTATGATGACAGAGAACTGCTAATATCAGTATAAAACTGCCTGATTCACTGCTGTGCTCATGTTTACTTCTGAAACATTGTAACTTTCTGTGTATGATGTTCCCTTCATCTATTTTTAAAATTAAGATTATTTTTTATTGACAGATCCTAACTGTATATGTTTATGGGGCCTCTCATCTTTGAAAGTCTGTAAAATGGTTATAACACCACCTGTCTCAAAAGATTGGGAGGCTCAAAAATGATTGTGGTTAGTGTGGTGCTGCCAAATAGCAGCTCTTCAATAAACTAAAGCTGTTGTTATTAGTAATTGTGTTTAATTATTATGGTTTAGAATTATGGGGTTCATTATATTATAATGATTAATTGATAACAACTAATTAACATAGAACTTTTCCTTATTGCCATCCCTAGTTTTAAAATGTTGTGCTTATTTGTTTATCTTTTGAGATGCCATCTTTAAAGTTTGGAGGCATGAAGTTTCTGTCTTGCTGATATGAATGCTTTTCTTTTAGCAACACTTCTTGTTGCTGTAAATGAACTTCGTAGGAATGCTCGGGCCAAAGGAATGACATTTTACAAGTATGGTATGTATTTTAGAAAGCAGGTGTTTGTTTCACCTCCCTTATTTGCTTAAAATTACTTAGTACTGTTACTGCTTTGTTCCTAATAGATATGTACAAAATATATCTAAATATCATCCCTATGTGGCTCCTACATATCTTTCAGCCCTTATTAAAAAGAAAAGTAGTGTAGAAATTTGAACATGGATACTTTATATTTGGATTTGACTTAAGTGAACTAAGGTATTTCTTTATATGGTTATATAACTTGAGAAAGTAATTTAACTTTATGTATCAGTTATTGTTGACATTTAAGCCAAGAAATTATGTTTGCATTGAACAAGGTTTTTAAAATCATAATCTCTCATACACTTTTATCTTAATTTATATCTTGATTTTAAATGGATACTTATTAAAATGTTACCTGGTAGTATCAAGTTAAAATTTTAGAAATTTATTTTTCTTGTCTCTTCCCCAATGACTAAGTAATGGAAAGTCGTGATCCTAGTACAAATGTGATATTATTGGAGGATACTGCTGCAGTCTTGGGAGTTATAATAGCAGCCACTTGCATGGGCCTTACTTCTATAACAGGTAAACATTTCTTAAATTACGGGTGATTTGTCCTACCTAAATAATTCTCTAATATGTGGGAATTTTCTCTTATATCATTGAATAATATTAAACCAATAAATTGTTAAATATTAATTCCATACTAATCATTGACTTGTATAAGATTTGGTCAGCAGAAGTATTCAGGTTTATTTGAATTAAAAATGTCTCTAAATTAGAAATAAGGCTATTTGTAGAGGATTTCTGTAATGCTGTAAGTCTTTCTAGCTGTGACTTTAAAAATTGTGCAATCACTGTGAACTTTTTATTTACCTATAAAAGTGTGGATAATATTTGCCTTGGTAACCTCATAGGTTTATTAAGAAAAGATAAGTTTTAATAAACTCTAAAGTTCCAAACAAATATACATAGATCCTAAAATAACATTGTTTTGTTCAACTTGATTTTGTTATAACGTTGTTGTGAAAAATAACAGTTCCTAACTGGGGCCACCATCTCTGTGGTGTTTGCTCATTCTCCCTTTACCTGCGTGGTAAAGGCACTCTGACTACCTTCCACATCACAATGCTGCGCATGGTCAGTGAATTGGGGTGTCTAAATAGTCCCATTCTGAGTGAGTGTGGGGGTGTGTTTAAGTGTGGCCTGCCATGGGATGGCATCCTGGCCAGGTCTGGTTCCTTCTTGTGTCCTGAGCTGCTAGGATAGGCTCAAGTGGGTGATAATCAGACAGATACAGGACAATAACTGATGTATGAAAGCGCTCAGCAAGCCCACATGTTTGTGGTTGTTTATTTTTGAATTATGTGATGGTAATAGGTGTTCCTTACAATTTTCACTTTGCAAACTTTATTCTTTGATTTAACCCACCACCACCACTATTGCCGATACTCACTGATTCACCAAAAATTGGGTAAATACTTATTTTACCTAGTTTTCATTAATTTTTAAAAATGTACGTATAGCCCACATTTATTTTGGTGTTCAATATTAGACATGTTTTGGGTCTTAGAAGTTGAGTGATGTTTTTGTGACCAGAAATATGCCATAGGAACTTAACTCTTTTTTTTTTTTTTTTTTTTGAAACGGAATTTTGCTCTTGTTGCCCAGGCTGGAGTGCAATGGCGCAATCTCGGCTCACTGCAACCTCCACCTCCCAGGTTGAAGCGATTCTCCTGTCTCAGCCTCCTGAGTAGCTAGGATTACAGGCATGCGCCACCACACCCAGCTAGTTTTGTATTTTTAGTAGAGACGGGTTTTCTCCATATTGGTCAGGCTGATCTGAAACTCCCAACCTCGGGTGATCCTCCCACCTTGGCCTTCCAAAGTGTTGGGATTACAGGCGTGAGCCACTGCACCCCACCAGATCTTAACTGTTGTTTATATTGGTTAGTTTATGGTAAAATTGGTTTTGTTATATGTTGTTCCCTATAAAGTCGCAGTTCTAAGAAACTATTGACAACATAAATGAAGACTTAACCATATATTGTGGCTCTTGTTCATTTGTCTTTTTCCACCCTTAATGCCAATAATAACTACTGTTGCCTTCCTATTTCTTTAAGTTGGTTCTATCCTCATTTTGGTAGCTAATTAAGTGTTTTGAGGGCCAATACAATACAGGTAAATGAAAAGACAGAAATTCTATTTTATTTTTATTTTCTAAAACAAAGAACCATTTAGCATGAAAAGACTCAATTTATGAAGTTGGAATTCTCTTGGAAAGGAACGTCTTCCATTCTTCTCTATTTGTCTTTACATATTTAAAATAATTTTAAGTGACAAGCTTCCACAATTCTGCAGGGTTTCTTCAAATAGTCTGAAATATGAATACTTCTTTCTCATTCTGAGTGTGCATTTTAAGACCAAACCAGCATTCTCTGATGTTTATTGTGATCCAAAATATTTGTAAAAGTGTTGATTGTTTTTCTGGTTGACCATTTAGTTTTAGACTGTTTTTGAACATAAATTACTAGCGAAATTTTAGGCTTGAGGAAAGTGTGACTTGATGCAGAAGTCAACTTTGAATAATTTATTTTCTTTTACATAATAACAGAAACCAATCAGATCAAACTTACAAAACTATGTAATGTATTTTACATGAATTAAATTTTTCTTAATTAGCTAATTTATTCAAATTAAATTAAATAACATGCCAAGAAATAAAAGTTTTCTTTAAAAAGGTATTTTCTTTCAGCTAATATTCCTGTGATTTCTGTAAGAGTACATGAATGTATATATTTAAATAAAAATAACTTTACATTTGGATTTCTAAAGAGCAGTATTTGATTTTGAGCTCTATAATTACAAAACTTCTAATGGATAATGTTTTACAAGTGGATCATTTTTAACACTTAGTATAGATAAACGAGTTTGCTTTTTAGTGTTATAGCTTAGCAAAATATATGTTTTGTCAAGCATTAAAAGAGTTAAATATATTGATGACATTTCATCTTTGGAATAAAAAGACTTGTCATAAAAGCCATGTGTAAAATTTATTATAAAGATTTAAAATGTATTTATTTGTAAAGATTTAAAATGTGTCTATTATATAAATATTACTTTTACATTCATAGATGATAAATCAGCCTTTCTCATTGGTTCTGGGAGAGAAGCCCTGACAACCTAAGGCAAATATTAGAATCAGAATCACCTACAGGGCTTGGGGAAACACAGAATGCTGAAACCCACATCCAGAATTTTTTATTCAGAGGCCTGAAATGAGGTCTGAGAATCTGCTTTTCTACCAAGTTTTCAAGTGATGCTGCTGGTCCAGGAACCACACTTTGAGAAGTACCACATTGAGGCACCTACGGCATATAATGAATTAAGTTCTCTCCTTTGTATCTAGAATGATACTAGCTATATATCATCCTTGGTTGGATGAGAAGAGAGTCACCCATATTATTTTCTGTAGGGCTTAATTCTCTTACAGAACATTAGTAGGAAGACGACACAGAAAATGGTTTCTTTCAGCTTTTGATTTTACTGTTATTTTGTCTGTGGTGTAGGAAAAGTGCTACTGATATATCTAAAAGAAATGGACTCTTCATTATGTCATTTTTTTGTATTGGTGTCTGTGTGCTCAGAAACTTCACATATGTAATGACAGGTACAAGTAGATCTTAATTATGTCACATAATGCTCTTATGGAAGCAAGTTGTAGCATCCTCATTTTGTAGTATATTAAAATATATTAAAACTATTAGGAGTCATTAAAGGAAGTAATTAAAGAAATTAGGAATAAATTTCAAGTGCCTTGATTTCTGGTTCTGGTTCTTTGCTCTCTGTAAAGTTCACTGAAATAATATAAAATGTTAATTTACTGATTTTTTTTGTGTGTGTGCTTTATTTAGGCAATCCACTGTATGACAGCCTAGGTTCTTTGGGTGTGGGCACCTTATTAGGTGTGGTCTCAGCATTCCTCATCTACACTAACACAGAAGCACTCTTAGGGCGGTCCATCCAGCCAGAACAAGTACAACGGCTCACTGAACTCCTGGAGAATGACCCATCAGTAAGGTCAGCCTTATTCCAGTAATCCTGTTAAGGCTTACAAAAACATATTTAAAAACAGAAATGCTTCATTTTTAAATACTTCCAGAGGAAGTTTTGGATTCCTGGTCTTCAGAACTCTTTAGTCTGTAACTTTTCAGAATTATAATCCTGGAAGGAAAAAGGAATACACTTAGGAAACTCCTTGTAAGTTTCCTTTTAAATTTTCTATACTTCTAATTTTTAGAATAAGGAACAGTAAGTTGATATTATGAGAGTAGAAGTTTGCAAAGTAGTTGTCTTCTTTTTTTATTTATTTTTTTATTATTATACTTTAAGTTCTAGGGTACATGTGCACATCGTGCAGGTTTGTTACATATGTATACATGTTCCATGTTGGTGTGCTGCACCCATTAACTCGTCATTTACATTAGGTATATCCCCCAATGCCATCCCTCTCGCCCAACCCCACGACAGGCCCCAGTGTGTCATGTTCCCCTTCCTGTGTCCAAGTGTTCTCATTGTTCAGTTCCCACTTATGAGTGAGAACATGCGGTGTTTGGTTTTCTGTCCTCAGATAGTTTGCTGAGAATGATGGTTTCCAGCTTCATCCACGTCCCTACAGAGGACATGAATTCATCCTTTTTTATGGCTGCATAGTATTCCACGGTATATATGCGCCACATTTTCTTAATCCAGTCTATCATTGATGGACATGTGGGTTGGTTCCAAATCTTTGCTATTGTGAATAGTGCCACAGTAAACATATGTGTGCATGTGTCTTTATAGCAGCATGACTTATAATCCTTTGGGTATATACCCCATAATGGGATGGCTGGGTCAAATGGTATTTCTAGTTTTAGATCCTTCAGGAATCGCCACACTGTCTTCCACAATGGTTGAACTAGTTTATAGTCCCATCAACAGTGTAAAAGTGTTCCT